ACCCTAGACTGACCCTGACTCAGTCTAGCACCACAGCTTCCCCAAAAGTGACCCGTGGGACTGTCAGAGGGTCCCACTTATATGATGTTCTGGCAGATACATGAACTCCCTCCCCCTGCCCCCCAGCACTGGCTCAAGTCCAAGCATCAGAGCCCTAAAGTGCAAGGCCATGGGGCTGGCAAGTGGAGACTTTCCAAGGTGACTGGGTCATGCTGAGTGTCTCCTGGAGGTGACTTTGGAAGACATCAGCTTGACCACCTTCCATCAGCCTTAACTGCCTGAAGCAGCCTGGGGGCCCTTGCCAGATGTCAGTGCCATGATCACGTACTCCCCAGCTACCAGAGCACAGGCCGGACAAGCGTCCACTGTTGATGAAAATGATCCAATGAAAGAAAGTGTACCCTACATGAGAGGACTGGACACAGACAGGGTGGAAAGGGGAATGGTGGCTGCCAGGGGTGGGGCATATGGAGAGAGCTGGGGCGTTGGGGTACACAAGACGGGGAGTCACTCATCAGGTATAAAAGTTTTGGAGGGGGATGGTGCAGACCATCAGTACTGCCATGCTGTGAGCCAACTGGTGATCTTCATGGCCAAGGTTACATAGTGTGTGCATTTTTCAGTGACTCAGGGACAGAATGACTGGCTGACCAGACACTGCCCCAGGTGACCGGGGCATGTCCACTCCACAGCTGATCTAAAAGAAGAAGCTGGAAGAACTCAGAACCATACGAATCCAAGCCACCCTGGGAGGCAGCTTCCAATCACCCTCAGCTAAAGCCACCTTTTGCAGCACTGGCATCCCATAGGAGTGCTGGTTCAAGACCCGGCTGTTCCACTTCTGCTCCAGCTCCCTGCTAACACACTTGGGAAAGCATCAACAGATGGCCCAAGCCTCCACATGGGAGACCTGAGTAAAGCTCCTGACCTAGGAGCTCTACCTGGCTCAGGCTTGGCAACTGCAGCCATTTGGGGTGTGAACCAGTGGATGGGAGATCTTTCTCTGTCTCCCTTCTCTTTGTAAAGCTACCTTTCAAATAAATGCAAACAGATCAGGTTTTTTTAAATAATCTTTTTTTATTCTAAGAATTTTATTTATTTTTACTGCAAAGGCAGATTTATAGAGAGAAGAAACAGAGAGACAGATCTTTCAGCCACTGGTCCCCTCCCCAAGTGGCTACAACAGCCAGATCTGAGCCAGTCTGAAGCCAGGAGCCAGGAGCTTCTTCTCGGTCTCCCATGCGGGTCCTGGGTCCCAAGGCTTTGGGCCGTCCTCAACTGCTTTCCCAGGCCACAAGCAGGGAGCTGGAAGGGAAGTGGAGCAGCCAGGATACGAACCGGCGCCCATATGGGATCCTGCCACTTACAAGGGGAGGATTAACCAGTTGAGCCATTGTGCCAGGCCTGGATCTGTTTTTTAAATAATACATTTTTTTAAAGATTTATTTTTATTATTTTTTTATTGGAAAGGCGGATAGACAGAGAGGAGAGACAGAGAGGAAGATCTTCCGTCCAATGATTCACTCCCCAAGTGAGCACAACGGTCGATGCTATGCCAATCCGAAGCCAGGAGCCTCTTCTGGGTCTCCCACGTGGGTGCAGGGTCCCAAAGCTTTGGGCCGTCCTTGACTACTTTCCCAGGCCACAGGCAGGGAGCTGGAAGGGAAGCGGGGCTGCCGGGATTAGAACCAGCGCCCATATGGGATCCCGGGGCGTGCAAGGTGAGGACCTTAACCACTTGCGCCACCGTGCCGGGCCCTTAAATAATATTTTTTAAGAAGTAGAGTTTGGGAAATGTCACCTGCTCTTCCTGACTCCCCCCCCCCCAACCCACCCACTATTTGGTTTCTGATAATGTGACTCCTGTCACCGCCAGAACCATTACATCATCTCTGTCACATCGACAGGGACCCAAGGACCAGGCTTCTCACAGCTCAGGTCACCTCCACACCGACTCTCCACCTCATGCTTTTGTGATCACAATGAAAGCAAATGGAACCAAGGCTGCACCCCGAAGCCCAAGCCCATGGTGGGGGTGTCGACCCCCCCATTCTCTGGACAGCCTGCCACCACCCAGCCACTTAGGCTTCAAGGGAGAGGCATACCTCCCCTCCCTCTTGCAACTCAAGCTTGCTGCCAGTCCCCGCTCAGCGCTATCCCAGCCTTGAAATAGCCTCTTCAGGGGCTGTCTTGCAACAGCCCCTGGAGGGGTCTACTGAGAAGGTAGGCAGGTCTAGCTGCCCTCTGCCCGCCCCCCGGGGGGTGCTACAACCCTGGGCCCCCCTCCCAACACCTCCACCCACTACCCCCTGGGATTCTGATCTGTTCCTCTCCCACGCTGACAGTCACCTGGGTAACACCCACTTCTTGAAGAATCAGCTCCACGGCTCTACCTTTCCTGGGAGAGGGTGCTTGGGGAGGGGTGGGGTGGGTGTTCCAGGCACAGCCCCTCCCAGTGGGCTTGGTACATAGAAAGCGCTCAATTAATGCTGAGAACATGGATAAACAGTGGAAGCCAGCACTTGGGTCTGAGGCGCATCTGTCATCTCCCCTTCTACTCAGCCCCCAGCCCTCCACCCCTCGGGCTGGGCCGACACAGCTTGGAGAGGCTGGGTTCTCTGCTGTGAATTCACTCGATGTTAGGCAGGGAGGGTCTCGGGTAGCCCCGAAGTACGATAGGGCTGTGTGCAGGATCTGTATTCCAGAAAGGTTAGGGCGCACTGCAATGGGGGCAGGGGGCGATGGCGGTGCCAGGCAAAGAGCGAGGACTTAAGCCCCTCGGCCCGCTGCCCCCGCGTGCCCCAGGGCAGGGGCTGCGGACCCGCCCGGCTAGCCCGGCCCAGCCCCGCGAGCCCAGGACCCTCGCCCTCCCGGCGTGGAGACCCCGGCCGCGCCCGCGCGAGGAGGCGCGCGTGTCGCTTTAAGCGCTCGCTCCCGGCGCGCGGCCGGCCCTTCCCTGGCAGCCACCGAGAGCGGAGCCGGGCGAGCCGGGCGGCCTCGGAGGGAGCCAGCGCCCACCCGCCGGCCCGGGCGGCCAGTCCCCCCGGCGGCGGCGGCGGCGGGGCTGGGGCTGGGGCGGACGAGCGGGCGGCTTCCCGGAATCGGCCCAGGCCGCGGAGCCCGGCGGGGTAGGGCCAGGCGAGGCCGCAATTAGGCCGAGCCACGGAGCCGGCGCCCGCGCTGCCGAGCCGCCCGTGGAGCGCAGGAGGCGGCGCGGGCCGAGCGGAGGCTGCAAGCCGCTGCGCCCGGGGCCCGGCCGGGCCGCGCGCCCTCCCCGCCCGCCCTCTGCCCGCGCGCCCTCCCCGCCCGCCCTCTGCCCGCGCGCCCTCCCCTCGACTCCCTCCCTCTCACCTCCCCTCGCCTCCCTTCCTCTCCTCTGCCCGGCGCCCGGACCCAGCCGGCCCGGGCTCCAGCCTCGCGCGCTCTGCTCCCGGCCCTGCGGGTACCGGCTCCCGGCGGCTACCGCTGCCCCTTCCCCCGGGACCACGGGCTCGGGACCTTCCCGGACGTGGCCCGCGCGGCGCGGGGCTGGGCGGAGCGGACCCTCGCGGGGACCAGGACGCAGACGACGACGGGTTCCGGGTTGAGTGCGCTCGGGCTCCCCGCGGGGCCGGCCGGCTCCGGGCAGTGAGAGCAAGAGAAGCTCGCGGAAGGCGCGGAGCCCGGGCCCGCCAGGGCGCACTGGGCAGAGCGAGTCGCGGACGCTGCCGGGCGTGGGCGCCGGCCGTGGGCTGAGGACCACCCTCCACCCCCAGCCCACGCGTGCCCTCCGGGGCGACGACTTTAGCTCCAGTGCTGGGACCGGCCCGGCGTCTCCTTGGCCGCCCTGCGCCCGGGTCACCTGTGGCCTCGGAACCTCAGACCTGCCAGGTCCTCCATTCGCTGCCCACCTGGAGCTGGTTCCTGCCCCGCCCCCTCCTGCCGCCCAGATGTCCCGGGCCCCGGCGTGGAAGACCTCGCTCAGGCCAGAGGCTGAGGGGTCCAGAGAGAGAAGCCCGCCCTAGGGAGCCTTGGGGACCCCCTAATCTCATCTTGGGGCTCGGAGAGAACGCCAGCACCCCCACCCTCGGTGAGTCGGAGAATGGGTTCTGAGGACCAGGATGGGGGTGAGGGATTAAGACGCACGCATCTCCCCGCCCCCGCCCAACCCCAAGGGGCTCTGGACAGCAAGGGGCTGAGAAGAACCCCAGAGGAGCAGCGGAGGGGGGGAGGAAGAGGCACGGGACCCCATGGGTGGGGGTGGGGCAGTGTGGCTGGGACACCCCAGAACAACTGAGGACTTCCGTTCCCGGGAGGGGAGCTCCCCCGTCTCTCTCTAGAGGAGGGGCTTGCAACACCTCCCCAAGATAGATAAATGCGCCGCGCCTGCAAAGGGTGCAGGAGGCATTGTAGGGCGGCCGGCTGGCTGGCTGGCTGGGGCTGCGGCCAGAGAGCTGATGCCAGGCTTCCGCTCTCTGCAGGCGGCTGCCCTCCTCCCGCGGGCTCCAGCACGGAGCATCCCGCCAGCTGGAGCCCCTTCCACGTCCGGGAGACCCTGGCCAGCCTCCCTCTTCAGGTGGCCGTTGCATCCAACTAGACCTGTACCTTGGAAACTGCCGGGGAGTCTTGCAGGGCCAACAGCTACCTCCCCCACCCCAAGGGCGTCTCTCACCCAGAGTCCCTGCAGTGTCATCCCCTGGCCGCCTTGTCCAGGCTCAGGCGGACATCAGTCCTGCACACCCACGGCTGTTTCCAGTGCCAGAGGCCCTTCCTGCTGCCCTCCCGTGTCCTCACCTTGACCCCCTGTGTGGCAGACTCTGTCTCCCTCTGGGGGCTGTGTTCCCCCACCCTGAGGTGGAGGAGGCTAGGAGGCAGGTGCAGGGGCTGGGGCCAGGCGACTGGGCTGGGGGGGGCCGTTAAGATGTGGAGCTCTGCCCGGCCGAGGGGGGCTTCGCGGAGGCAGACGCAGCCCGTGCCTGGCGGGGGGGAGTATGGGCAGGCCTGTGGCCACGTGGTGAAGGATGAACATTCGGGGCGCCCCGGACCTCCCCGGGCAGCCCAGTGACGACCCCAGCAGCGGAGGCGAGCGGGAGCGGATTCGGCAACGCATGAAGATGGTCATCGGGCAGCTTGAGGACATCCTGCGGGAGCTCAAGGAGGTAGCCAAGGAACTGAGGGAGGTACGTGTGTGTTGGAGAGGGTGCAGGGTGGGGTGGCTGTGTCCCCACCCGTGTGGCTCCAGGGGTCTTGTGGGCATGTGTGTGTGCCTCTCTGTCTCCCTAAGCAGGGTAAGCAGAGCCCAGTTTGATCTATTTCCCTAAGCAGAGCCCTATTTGATTACTGCTCCTGCCATCGCCAGAGTAATGAGGTACACGTGTCCTCAGCCCTGCTCCCTAGGGCTTCCATCCAGCCTGAGTGAGCTGAGCCACTGGCCACCCTGTCTGAATCTGGGCACCACCTGGGCTGGGTGCTGTTACACTGGCCAGGTGGGCTTTTCAGCATATTACAGCTGATCACGAGAACGCCCCTGCAGGGGGTGGCCAGGATCTGGACCGAGCTGGAGATCTCAGCGCAGACAGCTGTGCCCAGAGGACTAGGGGTCAGTGGGTGTCAGCTCCAGGGAGCACGGTGGAGGCAGGGCCTGGAGGGCGGGGGGGCATAGCTTAGAGAGGTAGGGACTGGATGGGATGAGAGATCAGGCCCAGACTCAAGTAGTAGAAGCCCTGTGTCACCACGTGGTTGTGAGGTGGACAGTGTGCCCACACTGGGCTGGCTGTAAATGGTGCATTTTAGAGAACAGAGGCAAGGTGCCTTCCGCCCCCGCCCAGGGCAATCTGTCCTCCTCTTCCTGTGGTCTCAGGGGTCCAAGGACTCCCATCCACCATCCTCTAGGGTCCCACTTCCTTTTAAATGCACTGTGCAGACTCTGGCTGGGGCAGGAGCATGTCTGCCCCAGGAGGCCCACCCAGAAGGCCTTGGAGCCAACTTGGATCTGACTGCAGGCTCTCTCTGGCCTGAGCCTCCTCCAGGTATCCGAGTCCGTGGGTGACCTCTTCACAGGGGCCTTTGCGCTAATTAGCAGACCCTTCCTGTGTCCCATCCCTTCCCAGGTCTCAGTCCCCCTGTACTGGCCCAGCTCAAAAGGAAGGAGTCCCCACCTCCCATTCCCAACCCCACAAACTTTGCAGGCTGTGTGGCTTCCCTAAGACTTGGGCAGTTTGCTGTGGCAATCAGAGTGTACCCATGGGCCTGCTGCCAGTGGCCCCCAGCTGAGAGGGGCAAGTCTCAGGATGTGTGTTGTGGGGTTGGGGTGGGCAGGTGAGGTGCTCTCGGAGACCCAGGCAAGAGGCAGACTAGGCAAGAACACCTTTCTGATAAGGTAGGCTTGGAGGGAGGGGTGCCGGGTGGAGCAGGAGCAGGCACTTATTCCCCCATGGCACCTGCTTCCTGGAGAACACGCAGCTGAGGAGATTCAGGCATTAGAGCTGGAGACCAGGTTCCTGTAGGAGCCTGGTGAGCTGCGCTCAGGATCCTTGGGGAGGGGTCTTGGCTTACATCCCCTCTGCCTGTGGTTCCAAGTCCCCAGGTGCCTCTGGTCCCACAGCTTGAGATTCCCTGAACCCCAATGCTCATCTCTGAAAGGGGATGAAATTCATAGTGACCTGGGTGGGCAGTGCCCCTCCCACACCCCTCTCATCTTCCTAAACACCTGCTGTGCAGCTCAGTCACCAACTCCCCCAACCTCCACCTGTGTCCTGGGAGCCAGAGAGTTGGTGCCATCCCTGGGGCGGCGGGGGGGTGGGGGGGGCAAGCATCACCAAAAGGACCAAGGAAAGGAGCCAACAGTAGCCTTGCTAGCTGCAACTGAGCTTCTGGCAGACCCTAATTAGCCTTGGTTCTCCAAGTCCACTCTCACCACCCACTGAACCCCTTGGCTAAGGAAAGCAGCCTAGCCTAATCCAGCCTAACCCAGCAGCCAGGGACTAGGGAATCTGCAGCCAAGATGTCTCCATTCAAGTTCAAGTCTGTGGACCCTAGCTGTGTGAACTTGGCCAAGTCAGGCACCTTCCCTGCCAGCCTCCAGCCCCAGCCCCAAGAGGTTGAGAGGAGCGGTTATCTGTGTAGAACTTGGCCCCGGGGCTGGACAAGCCTCCTGTGTCAGAGTTGGTGCTAGCTAGGCTGTGAGCCTTGACTGGGAAAGACAGGGCCAACGAGGTGCTGGGCTCCTGTCTGGGGAGAGGGGCCGTGATGGGGCTGGAAGCAGGGAGTCTCCAGTGAGGTAGCTTTTGGACATGAACCTGGAAGAAGTGAGGGTGCCAGCAGGTGGGAGGTCCAGTAAGAGGAGGAGCACTGAAGGGTCAGGGAACAGGCTACAGAGGAAGTGTGACTGCTGTGCCCCAGGGCAGCCAGCCGAGAGTGACAAGGGGAGGAGAGCATTGTAGGGGGTGGGGGTGTCCCAGAGGGAGCAGGGGTCCCAGCAGAGCCTAGAAGAGTGAGGACTCTGCATCTGCTGCCCGTGGGGAGATCCCCACGTTTGCACTGAGAGCCTGCCCACCTCCCTTGTCCCCCCCACCTGTCACCTCTGGAGGCTGGAGTGGGGCAGTGGAGATCCCCCACCTCTGATATTCCTGCAAAGCAATCCGTATGGCAGGTGTTCTGCTGGCCCCCTGGCTGCGCGGTCCCTCTGGCCAGGGAAAGCCACAGGGTGGGGGAGCTCAGGGGCCCAGCCGGGAAGCTGCAGGAGAGGTCAGGGCCATGGAGCCGTGCCAAAGCGGGTCACCCCCTTCCTCTGCCTCCCGCTCAGCCGGATCTGTGGTGCAGATTTCATCTACTTCATTTCACGCCTTTCTTTCCTCCCTCCTCCTCCTCCTCCTTGGGGCAGATTCACCCGAAGATGAAGAAATGGCTCCCTGGCCAATTAGGCCAGTCTGTGTGGGGCAGGAGGCCATGACTTACAGTCAGCTTAACCCCACCCCTGCCCAACACACACCACACACACACACACACACACACACACACACACACTCACTCTCTCACTCCCTCCCAGGAAGATAATAAACAACATAATCACAGAATTAAAAAATCATCAGCGGTCATAAATAATGCAGAGGCTCCCATTATGTAACTGACTGCCCCTGGGAACTAGAGGCAGGGGATAGGGGAGCAGCTTCCCCTCGGGGAGGGATGTAGAATGCTGGGATCCCCCAGTCCCAGTCCTGCAGGAGGGAGCTAGGGCTGGAGGGAGCTGCCTCCCCCCTCCAACACAACTCCCCACGTAGCTCTTCTAAGCTAATAGGAGTCTCCTGGTAATTTCTGGCTACCCGCCCCCCTTGCCACTTCCTTCCCCCAAGCATTGGCTGCTGACCTTGCAAAGTGTATATGTGGATCCTGGGGCAAGCAGATCGCAAGAGAACAGGAGAGGGGGTTGTGGGCAGGCAGTCCTGGGCCACCACTCCTCCCACTGGGCTCTCTGTTTGGCCAGGAGACAGAGCAGCATTGGTCACCATACTGTGGAAGTGTACACACAGGCCTCGAGCTGTTGAGAGCCATGCCTGGGAACCAAGCAGTTCACCTGGGGAGGGGGGATGAATTCCAGCTGGAAGGGCTGAGGATAGGAAGGTGTGAGATCCAGAGGCAGCAAGCTGTGTGAGCTGGAGGGAGAGAGGGGTAGTGTGTGCCCAGGAGGCCTGCCAGGTGCAGGCCAGTGTGTCACGATTGGAGACTGGAGATACTGGGGCTGGAAGTGGAAGAGTGACCCGGTACTTTGGCTGACCAGAAAGTTTCTCTGGACACAGCAGGCCCTGAATAGGAAGTGGGAAGGGTAGATGTATGAGATTGTTCATGTGAGGAGGGAATGAGGGCAGGGACCAGTAGCAGTGTCTGGGCACAGTGTGGGGACACAGCTTAGGGCCAGTGGCATCCTTCCCAGGGCTCAGCTCCTGGAGTGCATGTGTCCATGGGACAAAGGGGGCAGACCCAGGACTCAGGGCCTGATGCTGAGCTCCTAGCAGGCTCCGAGCCTCGTGTCCCCAGCAGCAAGCACGGCGGGGCAGGTGGACTCAGCGGTGTTTCCCGTCCTGTGGCTGGCAGGTGCTGTGGCTGACAGATGCTGTGACTTCACACTCCTCTCTCTCGCTTGCTGTCTTTCCCTCTGGTGTATAACTATTTCCCTGTGCTACAAAACAATCCCAAAGGACACGCAGTCAGGATGGTTTTAAACCTTAGAGAGAGAGAGAGAGAGGAGCAGGTGTTTGGCCTAGCGGTTCAGCTGCTCCTGTCCCCTGTGGGACTGCCTGGGTTTAATTTCCAGCTGTAACTTCCTTCTGATGCAGACCCTGGAAGCAAGTGGCATCTTACCAGCCATGTGAGAAATCCGGATTGAGTTCCTGGCTCCCGTCTCCTGCCTGGGGCTGCTGTGGGCAGCAGGGGAGTAAACCAGAGATGGTTCCTGCTCTTTCCGTCCTCCCCTCTCAAATGAATATGTATATATAAAGATTTTGTTTATTCTTATTTGAAAGATTTGCAGAGGCAGGAGAGAAAATTTTTTGTTAATATTTATTTTTTACTGGAAAACCAAATATACAGAGAAGAGGAGAGACAAAGAGGAAGATCTTCCGTCTGATGATTCACTCCCCAAGTGGCCACAACGGCCAGAGTTGAGCTGATCTGAAGCCAGGAGCCAGGAGCTTCTTCCAGGTTTCCCACGCGGGTGCAGGGTCCCAAGGCTTTGGGCCGTCCTTGACTGCCTTCCCATGCCACAAACAGGGAGCAGGATGGGAAGCGGTGCCACCGGGATACAAACCGGTGCCCACATGGGATCCTGGCACATGTAAGGGAAGGACTTTAGCCGTTAGGTCAGCACATAGGCCCAAGAGAGATCTTCTGTTTGCTGGATCACTACTCAGCTGTCCTCACTGGGCAGAGCTAAGCCAGTCTAATATCAGGAGCCAGGATCTTCTGGGTCGCCCATGCAAGGTGCAGGGGCTTATGAACTTGGGCCATCCTCTGCTGCTTTCCCAGGCCGCAAGGAAGGGGCTGGATGGGAAGTGGAGCAGCCAGGACATGAAACAGCACCCATATGGGATGCTGGCGCTGATAGGCAAAGGATTTGCTTGTTGAGCCACTGTGGTGACCTCTGCATTTTTTTTTTCATCTCAGAAATCACGAATTTCATGATGGCCAAAGAGAATAGTGAGTTTCCCAGGCCACATTCCACATACCTACTGATGTACATGGCTTCCCTTCTGTGGGCTGTCCTGTGGTTGGACCCTGTGCTCACAGAACATACCTGAGCCAGCTTTGCTGGAAGCCTGATGGCTGACTGGCTTCTTAGAACCTCCTCAGGGTCTATCTGGCCTGGCAACTGCCTGACTCAACCATGCCCCCAGGGTTGCCGTCTACACTGGGGCCTGGGCCCATGTCTGTCCATGCACGGTGGGCGTTGCTAGTCTACACTATTGAACACACTTGCCACGGTGCACTGAGTCGCTAAATCCTTACAACCTCTTGCTCAAGTGCTTCTGCCAGAAGCTTCCAACTAGGCCCAGAGAGGTTTAGTAACTTACCTGAGTCACACGGCTGGTGGGCTGTGGAGTGGGGTGGACACCAGGTCTGGCTCCAGAGCTTCAGTCCCTAATGGCAAAGTTCTTTACAAACCACATGTGTATCTGCTCTATGTTGGGGGTCCTAGGGATGAGCAGAGGGGTGGGGGCTGTGGTCCTGGTCAAAGGGACAGAAAACAAGGCTTGGGGGGACAAGGTATTGCCTAAGAGACCCTCTGCCAAGAGGGGGCAGCCCTTGTTGTGCCCCTTCCCACTGTAACCCTGGGGTGGCTGGAGGGGAGGCAGAGAAGACCCCCAGGAGATCAAGTCCAGGGTCTCCTGAGCTGGGGCGGCCAGGGTCCGGGGCAGGAGGCTCCCCCAAAGTGACTGTCTCTTTCCCAGCCCCACCCTAGGCCTTGGGCATCAGAGCCCCCCCGGCCCCCAAGCATAAGCTAGTGGGGGACTCCTTCAGTATACAGTCCCCTCCTCTGCCCAGGCCTCAGGGGCAGCTTGGGCTGAGCAGGGGGGCTTCTGGGGGCAGGAGCCTTAGGATGAGGGGATCATCTCGGAAGGGGGGTCATTGTGGTCAAAGGTGGGACTCTCAGGCCATTCTTTGTAAACTTGGAGAGGACCCCTAACATGTGCACAGCTGCCTAACCTCTCCCCTCTCCCACCCGGGAAAGGTTGACAGGAGCTGTCAGAAGTGTGAGCGGGAGCAGCCTTCCGTGCTGGGATTCTCATGCCAAATATGCTGAGCTTCAGAATGCTTGTATGACTTGCTCAGAGACACACAGCACAGTGTTCAAGCTATGGCTGGAGCCCAGGTTGGATCAGCTAAATAAGTGCTTCCTGCACTCCTGTAAAACAGCTTCTCAGACCCCCCCTGCCCCCATACACTCCTCAGCTCTTCAGAGGTGGCAGGCTGAGAGATGAGCCACCAGATCACCTGTAGCCCATAGCACCTGCTACTACCCCACTCTCATCAGACACAACCCACCCACGAGCCGAACCAAAGGATGTGAGTAGATGGCTGGCCAGTCCCCGATGACTTGGCCGAGAGTCTGGGGGCAGTGCTGGGAGCTGGACTCGTCTCTCCAGCTTTGTTTCTGTTCCTAGGCTGCCGCCTGCCTGGACACAGCCCAGCCCCTCACTCAGCTTTCATCCTGTTGCTGCTTTGCTTTCTGCCTCCAACTCCTCCCTTCCCCTTCTCAGATTCAAATCCCCTCCCTGCTTCTCTGGCTGGGTCCTTCTTGTTCCCGCTCTGTCTTCTGCCCTGATTTACCTGCTGACCAGGGGTGCTGAACAGAAGGACCCCAAGCAAGTGCCTGTGTGTAGGGGAAGAACAAGGAAGCGGATACAGCATTCCCTAAGCACACTTGACCCCAGCTCTGCGTCCCTGGTGGGAATTTGTGGCTTACCCCAGCAAGCCGGGGAGTCAGCAAAGAGGGGTGTGGGGTGGAGGCAGGACATGTTGGTGCCACATATCTGCTGGCCTTGTCCTCGGAGCCTGGGGGACACCCTGATGTACTATGACAGCCTGGACAGGGCCTTCTTCCTACTCACGCTGAAGCCTGGCCTCCCTTGGAGGGGTGGGGCTCTCCCCTGTCAGTTAAAGGTGAATCAAGCTCCATCAACAGGGCCGCTCTGCGGAGCAAGTGGTGGTGGCAGGAGCAGGCGGGTGTGGGAGTGATTGGGGAGGCAGTGGCCACAGCAAGCTCTCTCCGCCTTGGTGGTCCAGGCTGGACCCTCAGCAGAGCGTACCAGCCAGGGACATGCAGCTCTTCCTCCCCTCCCCTCCCCTCCCCTCCCCTCCCCTCCCCCCCCCCCCCTCCCCTCCCCTCCCCTCCCCTCCCCTCCCCTCCCCTCTCCTCTCCTCTCCTCTCCTTTCCCCCGACCAGGTGGTGAGCCAGATTGACAGGCTGACCTCGGACTTTGATTTCGACCTGGAGCCAGACGACTGGACCACAGCCACCGTGAGCAGCACCTCCAGCAGTGACAAGGCGGGTGCTGGCGGCCCCTTCGACCTGGGCCAGCTGGACTTGATGACCACGGCCGACATCCTGTCCGACAGCTGGGAGTTCTGCTCCTTTCTGGATACCTCCACGCCCTCGGACTCTGTGGATGGTCCCGAGGCCACCCGGCCAGAGGCAGCAGTGGTGGAAGCAGTGGCCGGGGCCGACAGCGGTGCGGCTGACTACCGGCTCATGAACGGCGGCCTGCCCATCCCCAACGGGCCAAGGGTGGAGACCCCAGACTCCTCCAGCGAGGAAGCCTTCAGCACTGGCCCAGCCAAGAGCCAGCTGCCCCAGCGGACCCCGGGGACACGGGAGAGGGTGCGTTTCAGTGACAAGGTGCTTTACCATGCGCTGTGCTGTGACGATGAGGAGGGCGAGGAGGAGGTGATGACTACAGCGGCTGAAGAGGATGGAGAGGAAGAAGGGGGAGGGCTGTCTCCCGAGCTCCCCCACGCCGCCTCCGCCGAAGGCCCCTTTAAGCCGTGCCCCCCAGCTCCCTACAAGCCCCGGCACTGTGCTCTGCCAGGTGGGCGCTCAGGTCCCACTGCGGCCCCTGAACAGGTCAGGAGGAACAGCGTGAGGGACAGCAGCACGCAGACGGTGTCAGACAAGAGCACCCAGACAGCGCTGCCTTACACAGCCGCGAGGCAGAAAGCCAAGAGCAAAAACTAGGGGCTGGGGTGAGGGGGGAGGGGCGGGAACATAGAGCTATATATATATATATAATATATATATATTTAAACAATTGCCATCATAATAAAATTTTAAAATGCCGAGGATCTGGCCCACAGGCCCCCAAGAGCTCATCTTGGGAAGTAAGGCCAGGAGCGCTTCTTGAGGCAGCAGATCTTGGAGGGGGCCTCATCTTCCTGTAAGAAGCCAGGTTCAAAGCAGCTATGCCCCAGGCAGGCCCCAGGACATATACTATGGTGAGCTGGGAACACTGTGGGATGCTTGGGTACTGGCGTGGTACCAGCCTGGCCAGGCACCCTCCTGGCCCTATCTCTCCTGCAAGGCAGGTCCAGATTTGACCCTGACCTTGCTGTTCGTACGGCACTCTGAGGTGGGGCAGCCTGTCAGAGCCAATCTGTGAAATGGGTTTGATGGTCTTCACCAACCACACGGGCTGGTGCCTTGCTGTCATACGTGATCCCCAACACAGAGGTCCCTGAGTGGGCAGAGAGAAAAGCCACTCCAGCCATCTGGAAGCCATCCTGAGTCTTTCCAGCAGCCCGACCCATGTCTGGATGTTCAACAGCTGCCAGTGTGGGTTGACCAGAAGAATGAGGGCCAAGGAAGGGGATGAGTAGTTGGGTTCTGTCCTGAGATGTTGAGGTGAGGCAGTTGCTCCTCTGCCATCACACCTGCCTCTCTGTGCGCAAGAGGATGAGGAAGAAGAAACCACGGAGCAGTTCCCATTTCACAGAGGACCTGTCGGAACCCCCCCAACCCCCAGTGACCTGGTCCTAGTGCTTCCTGGAAGAATGGCTTGGGGAATGCCTAGGACATCCTCAGCTGGGATCCCTGTGGCTTCTGATGTGGTCACATTGGATGAGAGCGTTAAGATGTTTGTGTGTTCCCCATTCCGGAAGGGGACATCGCTATCTTCCAGATGTACCTGCCGGGCACGGGCCTGGCCTTTACTGCTGGTCCCTGTGCATGGCTGTGCTACCCATCACATGTCCTTCCTGCTTTAGCCACCTGCTGTGTGCACACACGCTGGGCTGAAGAGGCAGAAGGGGACAGGCGGGTTTCGGGCCTCCGGGCAGCTGGTGCTCACCCCCTCACATGCTGTATACTGAGTGTCACTTGAACCTACGTAATCCCATTCTGCATACAGACTCTAAGAAGCCAAGCGACTGGCCTAAGGTTACACAGGATGGGTAGGAGAGTCAAGGCTCAATCCCAAACTCAGCAATGTCACCCTGGAACCTCTGAGTGGCAGGAGAAATGGAGGCTATGGGGCACAGAGCAGGCGCCGGGCATCCTAGGCCAGGAGGGTCTTGGTGTGGGCAGAAAACTCCAGGAGGAAGGACTGTCTACAGCCTTGGGGGAACCTGGCTGCGGTTAACCTAACACAACCTGGGCATCGGGTCAAGAGGTGTTTGGAGAGTAACTGAGTGAACCCTGCCTACAGAGACGCGTGCCTTCAGTGTGCCAGGTCTGTGATGGTGCTTGTACCCACACAGGTGCTCCCCCAGGGAGGATCTGGGTGTTGCAGAGCAAAACCAGCAGGGGTGCAGAAGCAGGGTTAGTGAGGGAGGAGCTTCAGGACTGAGGGCCAACCTGGGGAGGGGGCTGGAAGGGACTGCAGGTCCCTGGGAGAGGGATCTGATAGGACTTCATTTAGAGGCAGGAATAGGGTCTGAGAATGTGGGGTGAGGAAGTCTTACCAGGACAGTCAAGGGACAGAGGTATGGCCTCTAGGGCTGGACTGCTGGGACCAAGGAACGGAAGGAGGGCCAACGGTTCAGAGGCCCCAGGCCTGTGCCCTGTGCCTGGAGATGGAGCAAGAGGCAAGCCAGCAAGGAGGGAGGGAAAATGGGGGCGGGGTGGCAGATTCAGGAGCCACTAGATCCAGTCTTCCCCCAGCTCCACCCACCTCCCACCTGTCAACCCTTGCACAGCTGGAACCATGCAAAACCCTGACAGCCTCTGACAGCCCAGTGCACCGCAGCACATGTCAGCACTAACACACGGTGACAGAGTGAGTTGGGGCTGGTGCACGGCAGCTCGCTGGGTGATGACTTGGGAGGGAACGGATTAGTCACACTCTTCCTTTCTCACCAGGGTCAGGTAAGGAAACTGAGGAACCCACAGGGACAGAGTGGGACTGGGCTGGCGGCGGGCGGGGGTGGTGTGTCCACTCTCTACTTTGCTCTCCGGCGGGCAGGGCCACCGTCTGGCACTTGGCTGTGAGCCGGCCTTCATGAACCTACCCCCGGGTTCTAGGGTTCCAGGCAGCCAGCAGGAATGGAACTACATCCCCCGAGGGCCCCTTCCCCCTTTTCCTGTCTTTGGAAGAGTGGGAAGACAGGCCTAGTCCTGGCCCGCAGATGCACAGGCCCTCTCTTTTATGGACTAGCCTGGTGCCTGGTGCTGGCTGGCTGGGGACTGGCAGGAATTTACCCTGAAGCAGTGAGCACCTGGAAGTGGAAATGAATGGTGTCAAGGGCTAGTGGGACTTCAAGGGTGAGTATTTAGCCTTGTGGGTAAGATGACCGTGTCCTCTACCTAAATACCTGGGTTGGAAGCACCTGCTCCAGCTTCCTGTGATGCAGATCCTGGGAGGCGGCAATGATGGCTCAAGACTTGAACTCCTGGAAATGGCAGGCTTGTGAATTCCTGACTGCCAGCTTCAGCCTGGCCCAGCCCTAGCCACTGTGGGCATTCAGGAAGTGAACTAGCACACAGGAACCCTTTCTCTCTCTCAAATAATTTTTTAAATTATTTTCTCTTTAAAAATTACTTATTTTTTAATGGAAAGGCAGATTTACAGAGAAAGACCTTCTATCTGCTGGTTTATTGCCAAAATGGCTACAACAGCCAGAGAGCTGAACTGATCCAAAACCAGGAGCCAGGAGCTTCTTCCGGGTCTCCCACCTGGGTGCAGGGTCCCAAGGCTTTGGGCCGTCCTCGACTGCTTTCCCAGGCTACCAGCAGGGAGCTGGATGGGAAGTGGAAAACCAGGACATGAACCTGTATCCATAGGGAATGCTGCCACTTGTAGATGGAGAATTAGCCAGTTGAGCCATTGTGCCACACTCTCTCAAATTATTTTTTTGAAAGCAAGCTGCCTGGGGTGCCCATGTGGCAGATGGTAGAAAGCCAGGTGTTTGTCCAGGCAAGGACCCTTGGGAGTGTCTTAGCAGGACCTCAGAGTGGCTATCCTCCTTCCCCAGGGAATGAGGGAAGCCTCTCCGGGCTAAAACTGGGGGACTAGTTCAATATAACTCAATCACTTCTCGGCCTTTTAGCTAAGATCAAGTATGATAGCTTAGCTCGCATCCAAGCACCCGGCCTAGCAGTTAAGACCGTATCCCACGCCAGTGTGCCTGGGCTTGCCTCCTGGCTGTGCTCCCAGCTGTCTGCTGATGCACTCCCTTGCAGGAGGCAGGCGGTGGCTCAAATCTTTCCTTGGGTCCCTGCCAGCCAGCATGGGAGACACAGGTAGAGTTCCAGGCTCTCGCATTTCGGCTTTGCCAAGCCCTGGTTGTTTTGGGCATTTGGAGAAGTGAACCAGTGGAGAGAAGATTTCTTTCTCTCTTTCTCTCCTCTACAACCCCAATCCCCACCCCATTTGATTTTTCTCTGTCCTTGCCTTTGGAATAGATAAAATTAATGTTTTAAAAATGGCAACTTGGAGAAGAGGGAAGAGACCTTAGCAAAGGGCATGGGCAGCCCCAGAGCCTATGGAACTATATCATAAAACAAAATAAAATATTTTTAAATGTAAAATGGCATGATAGCATAATGGTTAAAGTCCTTGCCTTGAGCACACTGGGATCCTGTATGGGCGCTGGCTCTAATCCCAGCAGCCCCGCTTCCCATCCAGCTCCCTGCTTGTGGCCTGGGAAAGCAGTCAAGGACAGCCCAAAGCCTTGGGACCCTGTACCCAGGTGGGAGACCTGGAAGAAGCTCCTGGCTCCTGGCTTCAGATTGGCTCAGTTCCGACCATTGTGGCCACTTGGGGAGTGAACCATCGGACAGAAGATCTTCCTCTCTGTCTTTCCTCCTCTCTGTATATCCAATTTTCCAATAAAAATGCATAAATCTTTAAAAAAATCACATAATTTGTTTAAAAATGTGAAACAAAAAAAAATTTAAAATGGGAACTCAGTAACCTATATCATGCACTAGAGACAAGAGGCTTGCTTTAGTACAGAAAGACCACACATCATTAGCACGCTGGGGAATGAATGACTAGAAAACCACTGGGTCTTCCCGGGAAAGCTCAACACCTCAGCCCTCACCACTCCCAGCACATGTGCAGCCTGAGTCCCCCTCCTTCCTCCTCACCACCCTCAGCCAGGGGTGGAAAGCTGAGGATCAGGCTTGATTCTACTCACTGGCCACCCTTCCCACTGAACCTGTGCCCTCCGTGCACGCCAAAGAGTCTGCGGGTTCCTCAGCCGGTGACACAGGCACAGCTGTGTCCACAGGCCAGGCACCACACTGAATGGGATGTGACTCCCCGCCAGGAATACTCAGGAACACCTGCCTGTGGCTCTCGGGCTCTGGCCCGGCCAGGTTCCTGTCCCAACTGGGGCAGTAGAGGTGAGAAGCTTTCTGCTGTGGGTGACAACTCCGTCTACCCTCCTGCAGAAACCCAGCCCCCAGAAGCCACCTCTGCCCTTAAGGGCAGGGCGTGTGCCAGGAGGTCTGGGGTCCTTTGTGGGGTTTTCTTGCCAGAAATGAGCCAGACAAACTGAAGGTGGGGACTGGCATCATCTGAGCGCACCTTGGAGAGGGAGGAAGGGGCTGAGGGCTCATTTACAGGTGCCAAGGAGACAGCAAACACCCTGGCACCGCTCACAGAGGCAGCGATGCAGGCTGCCTCTGTCCTAGCACTTACTTCCCTACCCTGCTCCCCATCTCGCCTGGCCCAGGAACTGTTGGCTTCTGTGGAGTGGGTGCTGGGAGCAGACACACTCGACCTCAGGCAGCTATGC